TTCCTCCTCGACAAGACCAGTATTTCATATTTCATTCCCACACAATTAAACAGGTAAGGTAATAGAGTGAAACTGAAGAGTGCGATTTCTTGTCTGATAATTTACACGATAAACTGAAGTTCTAAAATCTGAAATACCAGGAGCATTTTCATGGCGCTCTACGAACGTTTTTTCGTACCAAAAACAAATTGTCCTTTGATTTGATTAGTTAACAGCCAAATTAGTAAACAGAATTGCCCCGTTTGCTGTATTTCCTGAATAATTACACAAATTAATGGTAGTTTTTAGTCTGGCTCTGTAGCTGTGCAGCCGAAAATTTTTTCTTTGCACTGCGTTCTTCTTGGATGATGCCTGGGACACTGAATGGACAAAACTAACGGGAAGTTTTGCCAATAACAGTCAAAAAAGTAACATAGGAGCATTTTTGCCATGACACATAAAACTAAATTTTCAAAACCAGCGGTGGAACTGGGAAAAGAAACGATGGAAAATGCCAGAGCGGCATCAACAAGGGCAGCGTCAAAGCACTGGATTGTTGCTGCACGAAGAGCATCGTCGGCCACTGATGCAAGATCTTGGCTAGCCAATATTCAGAAGAGAAATAAAGTGGCGCCGTTTTCCTCAAAGTAAATGTCTTCAAGAAATTTTTTTTTTCTCGAAAAAATACTAATTGGTTGTACCATCAGACAGGACAAGTTTGGCACAACGAACAGGTGTTATTTCCCAAGTGTTTTTTGAAAATAGATGCTTTAAGAAGTCTTTTAAGTAAAGTAACTCATCAATTTCCTATTGTAAGAATATATTATGGTCAATGTTCTGAGAATTTTAAGCTTCTCTTGTCTACGTCATATAATAGTTTCAGTAAAAATATAGGATGTGTGAAGGGCATAGTTTAGAAAGGATTTATATCACATAACAAGTATTAAGCAGAACACTAATAAACATGCTTTCTGGAAGGACGGGTAAGCAATGATACTACCAGCAGTCTTGTAAGTGACGACACTAGGATGATTATCGGTGTAATGAGAGCCAGACTTATGTAAGCAGCAGCAACGCTTATTACACCACTTCTCGTCCACATCCCCGGAGCTTCACCCTTCGACGGAAGAAGTACTAAGGCGACGCTTACAAAGGCAGAATAGTGCATAAATCAAATCCTCCAAGAAATATCTGCAAAAATAAAACTGGCACAATGTGAAATGACAAATGGGAATCGGCAAGAAAAGAAAATAAGAAACGAGAAGTAGGGAAGGATGGATAAAGATGACTTGTGTTGTTACAGGAAATATCTCATATCTCAGCTCCTTTACATTCCCGTTTTTCTAGCACTTGTGCATGAAGACGCAGATTGTGTCAGATGCTTACGGTACGGATTTCCTTCTGGCTGAAGTGCAGTGTGCGTAATTACAGGATTTGTGAGCGCCACCTTGAACTGGAACCTCTTTGCTGCCTCTCCTCATGTCTTGTACGTGGCGGCTGTACTGCTGTTGCCGCATTTGAGTACACTTACGTTGTTATTACAGTTATTGCAATCATATTACGTTTACATGAGAGTGGACAGTTCAGGTATGTTATGTGTCCCGGATTTGAACTTCCACGGCCAAGTGTTTTTGCAAAAGTTTCTTGTTTGTTATTTGTTCTTTCATGAATGATTTATGAAGCTGAATGAATGTAGTACCTCTTTTTTTTAAAAGAAAAAATCTTTCAGGTTTTGGTCTCAGTTCAGGCTGTCGTACAATCTGATAGTTACACACAAAGCATTTCTCTACGTGTTGTTAGGCTACGACTTAGTAAGCTTCTTTAGTATGTAATCAAAGGTTTTCTCGACATTTTGTATCGGGCGCTTATTGTGAAAATGTAATCGATAATAGAAAACTGCTTCCTGGAGCCTGGTTGTTCTTGAGTCATTTTCATCAAGAGTCATTTCTATCCAGTTGGGTATTACTTAGTAAAATTTTGTAAAAATATGGCACTAAGGCCGGTACAGGTGTTTTTGCGGTCTCTTTTCCTTTTCATTAGCAACGTTCCAGATCGCATCCGAAAAAAAAAGGATATATCCCAATGAAGAAATATTTGTCGACTGGCAATAACTGATTTTGCAAGCTAATTCTTGATTATTACTCGTACTTTTTTGAGTCGCTAACAAATCAGTGGCTCTTTCTAGATAACATTTGCAATGGCCACTGGACTTCTTCGTGCGCTGTTCAAATTCGACAAGCGTATGGTTCGGACACATTTGTATTTCGATTATTTTGCTTTGGTATTCAACGTGTTTGCATCAGTACTCTTCATTCCGGCTCTTCTTGTTCAAAACTCAGAAGCTCGAAATCTCGCCAATATACTGCTTGCAATTTCTTTCGTTACTCATATACCAGTACAACTCTGGGCAATCTCGGTGGTGCGCTCGTGTCTTGATTTCTTCGTGCTGGTGCATGTTTTCGTTGAAATGGCTGAGAAATAATAATTCTGCGACTGCCTGGACAATCGGTGCTGGTATCCCATGTTAGTGATGTTACTGGACAGACGCAGCTGTGTCCAGTTCCTCTGATCCAGAGCTGCATACTACCAGCTAGTAGCCATCGCCGCCTATTCGGCGATGTATGTGCTGCCTCGTCGAAAGCCACCTGAGAAATAGTACCGGGCTAGAAAAGTTGAAAAAATTGTGGTGACCGCCGCATAGACTTAGCTTAATGCGAACTTCCAGGAAAGCTGGAACATCACGAATCCTTGAGACCTTCTGTTCCGTCTAAGTGGATTTGGGAGCTCTCAGACTGATCTCGCATACTCAACATTCTGTGATCTAATTCATGTCGACAACGGCACAATAGTGTTTTTTTTCTTTGTTTTTTTTAAATGAATCCTGTAAATAAAGACGTAATATGGCGCAAAATATGTATTTATTTGTTTGTGTGTGTTGTGTGTATGTGTATGGTGTTCGTCTGTGTGCATCTGTGTGTGTGTGCGTGCGCGTGTATATTCATTTGTTGTGTGTATCATTCAATTTCGGCACCACGACTAGAGCTGAAATTTTTGGAGCACAGTTACCGGCTTAGGAGATGGCTGTAGAGTGGAACTGGATCAAGCTTCTCTTTATTATCCTGAGCTCAAAAATCTTAGAGTCCAAGTTAATTTCATGAACCGAGAACAATTAAAACAATAACGAAAATGAAGTTGATGGAAAATATTTGCTCTAAAATTGGTCCTCGATTTTCAGTATGACTAGATCTGGAATATCAACACAGAATAGTTCTTTACGAGGCAAGAAAGAAAAAAACTCAAGTCGGCAGAAAATGGTGAAGCATCAGAAGGCTTTGTTGTACAGCAAAAAGGGCAGCTGATTGTGGATTTGGTAATCGAGAAGCTGTTCAATCGATTTCCTTTCGCAACATTCACACTACAGCCATGTGCAAGTCGGAAACGGCGAAAATTTTCTTGAAATCAACATCCGGTAGGCTGCCAGTGGCCTGAGTCTGAAATGTACCAAGAATACCACCAGTGAGGGCATCCCGCATTGGTGCTGCTATATTGCGATTCTGCAGCAAAAAGCCCCGACGCAGATATCAACAGTACGTACTTTGCTACTTCAGTCAGTTACAGCTCAAAGTGTTCTCCTCCAGCTGAAAACTTCCCCAATTCTTTTGATCTATGCTGCGCCGGCCGATGCTCAGCCTGTCGATTTTCGTCACGTCTCCGGTCGTTTCCGCATCATCATCTTCTGACGTTCCGTGGAATCTTGAGGTTCATCTTCGATTTCTTCTGTTAGCACTTGCCGTTTAACTGGCATCACTGCCTCCATACAAATGTATTGAAATGAAGATGTGGTACCAACAACTGGTAAAAGAAAACTGAACATACAGCATAATGCAGTCGGTTTTTTGCAAGCGTGCCGGTCTGGCCTTTCAGCTTTAGCATCACTTCCATCATTTGTTCGTTTTGTTCCGGCACTACAAAATGCACATCCCTTCGATAGACTGCGAAAACGTCTGGATCCCAGTCATAGTCCTCATGCGGATTCTAAGGAAAAAGGAAATGAAAAAAATTATCCGTTGCCCCGATTTCTGTAATTCTAGTTTTAAAAACTACGGTCAGCCAGTTAAGAAAATTCGCTGCCCAAGCTAAAAAACATTGAGTGCGACGATGGTGTGAAGACAAACTGTTGTTCATCTCTTGATAACACTGCTAATCCTATCGCCTCTAACGTTACCTGGTTAACGAAACAAGAAACAGTACACTTAGAAGTTAGCACTGATCCCATCAGACATGAAATAGCCTAAGACAGATATTGTTGCAGCACATCGTCACCGCAAAGTTCCGGTGAAGCTATCAATACAGTGTGTATCAAATAGAAGAGCTGGGCTGGTCATGTGGCGAAAATGAAAGAAGACAAATGGGCAAAGCAGGCTGTTGAGTAGTATCTACACGATGTTATG